CTGTCTCGCACTGCGAGGCAGAAAACACTATCTCGCATACTCCAATAGGTACACGAGTAAACACTGTTTCCCTACCCTCAACAGGAAGTTTCTGGAGAATATTAATCTGAATATTCTTAAGGATAACCTGGTGAGCTCTCAATAGATGCATCAATTCAGTGACAAAAGCTGAACCCACAAGAACAAATACCAGCTTCGATTCAAGATCTCAATAACGGCAAAGCGATAAATGCGATGCCGGGAGAACATTAGCTATTCTACAAAGAACTGAATAGACTAAAAGCAGAAGAGATCAAGCATTGAAGCCATTTACAAGTCCTTCCACACGATCTACTCAACCGAGCATTGAAGGGATCGTAAGTAAAATCTATCTTATCCAAAGTATCCCATGCTCCTCTATAAAAGAATGAGTCTGGAATACTTTGGAGGGGGTATCTGTAGGCATCAAAAAATGCTAATAGGTATCCCAAACATAGAGAAGATCACTCAAAAATCACAAGAATTGATCTCATACTGTTTTTGAAAAATCAAGACATGTATGAACTGTCTCACAAGCGAGACAGACTTTGCTGTCTCGCCAGCGAGACAGACTTTGCTGTCTCGCCAGCGATACAGTGTTTACTGTCTCGCCAGCGAGACAGTGTTGAAATGGTCAAAAACCACCTTGATAACTGCCCTACACGTGTCCATTAACTGCCAAGGGATGTGGAAAACATCGTGGGCGAAAATCACGTGAATAACTGCCAAAATAACGGAGTTTAAAACGTGGGAAGGCAGTTAAAACGAAAACTGCTAGACAGTTACTATTTTCGAGACAGTATTTACTGTCTCGCGGGCCGAGACAGCAAACACTGTCTCGCCCGCCGAGACAGTAAACACTGTCTCGCGGCCTAACGTTGTTGTTTTGTTGAGTTTTTACAGTTACAGACCCCAGAGGCTATAAATACCCCCCTAGGGTCATTTCTGACGAGGATCGAGCATATTTTCGAGCAATTCAGAGCAGAGAGAGAGCAGACGCTGTTATTCTTGGATTCCCTTGAGATTCGAGCTTTGACTTGATTTCAAGAAGAACGACTATCTTACTTTGATAAGATATCGTTTTAAAATCTCACTTCGATAAACGAAGGAAGAATCATAAAGCCCCTTTCACGATCTGTGATTCGGCGGTCCACGAACCAAAGCATTCCCGGCACAGGCAAAGTCCCACAAAACAAGAATCGATAGACGATTTTTGTGTTAGTTTCTCAAAGTTGTAATTTTTACTTTGTTGTGTAAAAAAAGGTCTTATAAAAAGACTATTTCTTTGAATTTGTTGTAATCAAACAAAAATATAATGAATTCCACAGCAAAACCAACTTTTGACGAAAACACTAGGGTCTTCTTTTCTAATTTTTGCAATTTACCTAGCTTAATTTCTAACTAAGTTTGAATTTTCTGGGTCTGGTTGCAATTTACTAAATAACAAGCTCCTGATGAATATTTTTACTCCTCTTTATCTTTTGACCCCATTTACAAACTAATAATCTTTCAGGGATCCCAAAATAATTATACTATTTTTATTTTATTTTCCCTTTTCTCTATTCTTTATCTCTTTCTTTCTCTCCTGATCTCTCTCTCTCTCTCTCTCTCTCTCTCTCTCTCTCCCCCCCCCCCCCCTATCTCTCAACTTCTCCTTCTCTCTCACTTTCGTCATGGCCACTGAAAATGATAAGACCCTGGTTAGGTCGTGGAAGCGCCGGATCTAGGTTAGTAAATGTTTTTTCAAATTTCTTAAGAATCAAGACTAATGAGGAAGAAGATCATACCTTCATCCGCTGCCTCCCTCTTCTTCTCTTCTTTTTTACACGAATTTTCCCCCTTTGATTTCAATTTTTTCTGTTTGTTTTTGAAACTGATAATTTTGGTGAAATAGGGTATCCATGGCTCTTGAGTTCATAACTGGTTTTGGGCATTGATTATACATGTTCAGTTACAAGGCTTTTGGATTTTCTATTTCTAATAACTATTCATTAACTTAAAGAAAACAACTACTACTCTACATCCTCCTCACCTTTAACAAAGTTTTGTCCTCGAAACATTACGTACCTTGGTTCTCAAAAAGTTGACGATACTTCTGTTGCATCTCATCTTCAGGCTCCCATGTTGCTTCTCTATCAAAGTGATTCTTCCATTGAACCTTCACGTATCGAATTGTACGTCGCCTAAGCATTTTCTCCTTTTGATCTGCAATGCTTTCAAGTTGTTTCTCATATGTTAAGTTTTCCTTTAGCTCAATGGGTTCTAGATCTATAACTTGATCGGGATCTCGAATGAATTTCCTCAACATAGATACATAAAACACATTGTGGACTTCGGCCAAAGAAGACGGTAAAGCAAGCTATAAGCGACTTCACCAACACGTTGAAGAATTTTAAACTGTCCCACAAATCTTGGACTCAACTTTCCTTGGATTCTAAATCTTTTCACACCTCTTCTAGGGGACACCTTTAAGAATACATGATCACCTTCTTGAAATTCTAAGTCTCTCTTTCTCCGATCAGCATAACTCTTCTGTCTACTTTGTGCATTTCGAATATGCTCTCTTATCAAGTAAAATTTCTCTATAGCTGGTTGCACTAACTCAGGACCATGAAGTTTCCTTTCACCAACATTGTCTCGATGTATAGGGGAACGACACTTCCTTCCGTATAGAGCTTCATACGGTGCCATCTTAATGCTTGCTTGGTAACTATTTTTATATGCCAATTGTGCCAATGGTAAATGATCCTCCCATGATCCTTTCAAATCAAGGATACAACATCTTAACATATCCTTGAGAGTTTGAATTGTTCTCTCAGATTGGACATCTATTTGTGGATGATATGCTAAGCTAAAACAAGGTTTACTCTGAAGAACTTTGTGCACACCTTTCCAATACTCTAATACAAATCTAGGATCTCTATTAGAGACTATCTCCATGTGTACACCATGAAGTCTCACTACTTCAGTAATATACAACTTCGCAAGTTTCTCTAAGGAAAACTTCATATTGATTGCTAAGAAGTGAGCCGACTTAGTCAGATGATCCACTATGACCCATATAGCGTTATTACCTCTTGCAGATCTTGGTAATCCTATGACAAAACCCATTGAAATTTTCTCCCACTTCCACATTAGTATGTCGAGATTTTGAGTTAATCTGGCTAGTCTCTGATGCTCTGCTTTTACTTGCTGACATATTTCACACTCTAAAATATATTTGTTAATATCTCTCTTCATATTATTCCACCAGTATATCTTCTTCAAATCTTTGTACATTTTAGTTCTATCAGGATGCATGGTATCCAGAACGTTGAGCCTCCTTCAAAATCTTCTTCTTTAATTTTGGATTATTCAAAACACAGAGTCGATTTCTGAACATAAGGGATCAATAATCGTGTATCACAAAATATGGTTGTTTACCTGTTTCCACTCCTTCTCAGATGGCTTCTAAATCTAAGTCATCTTTTTGGGTAATCTTAATCGCATCAACCAGAGCAGGTTGTACCTGGATGTTATTCAATTCGGCCGATGGTTGTTGATATCGGATCTCAATTCTCAACCGATCTAAATCTTCTAATATATGCCTTTATCAAGTAATGAGACAAGCTATAATACTCTTTTGACTAAGGGCATCAGCAACTACATTTGCTTTTCCCGTGTGATAATTAATACTAACATCATAATCTTTAAGTAGCTCCAACCATCTCCTTTGCCTCATGTTCAACTCTTTTTGAGTAAAAATATATTTTAAACTCTCTTGTGATCAGTATAAATTTCATAATGCACTCCATAAAGATAATGTCTCCAAATTTTTAAGGCAAAAATAACAGCCGCCAACTCTAAATCATGTGTTTGATAATTTTACTCATAATGTTTTAGTTGTCTAGAGCAATAAGCTACCACTTTTCCATTTTGCATGAGCACACATCCCAAACCTTTATGAGAGGAATCTCTATACAAAGTAAAATCTTCTCCTACAATTGGTATAGTGAGAATTGGTGCAAATACTTGTCTGTTCTTTAACTCTTGAAAGCTCATTTCGCATTATTCAGACCAAACAAATTTGATTCCCTTTTGAGTCAAATGGTCAAAGGTGAGGCAATACAAGAAAATCCTTCTACAAACCTCTGATAATAACTCGCCATGCCAAGAAAGCTGCAGATTTTATGAACATTTGTTTGTCTTTTCCAATTCACAATTGCTTTAATTTTTGCTGGATCTACTGAGACTCCATCCTTCGAAATAACATATCCTAGAAAAGACACATTATCTAACCAAAACTCACACTTCTTAAATTTTTCATAGAGGTTTTCCTTTCTCAAAACACTAAGCACTCGTCGTAGATATTCCTCATGCTCCTCCTGGTTCTTCGAATATATCAATATATTATCTATAAATATCACCACAAAATGATCTAAGAAGGGTTTGAACACCCTAGTCATAAACTCCATGAATAATGCAGGTGCATTCGTTAACCCGAATGGTAACACAAGAAATTCATAATGACCATAGCGGGTACGAAATGCGGTTTTTGGAATATCTTCAGCCTTTATCTTCAATTGATGATAGCCCGATCGTAGATCGATCTTGCAAAACACCTGAGCTCCTTGCAATTGGTCGAACAAATCATAAATTCTTGGTAGGGGATATTTATTCCGTATAGTCACCTTATTGAGCTCTCGATAATCAATACATAACTGCATGCTTCTATCTTTCTTCTTTACAAATAACACCGGTGCACCCCAAGGTGAAACACTGGGTCCAATAAACCCTTTGTCCAGAAGTTCTTCCAACTACTCCTTAAGTTCTTTTAGTTCTACTAGAGCCATTCTATAAGGGGCCTTTGTGATCAGACATGTGTTTGGAACTAATTCAATATAAAATTATATTTCCCTATCGGGTGGCATTCCGGGGAGACCTTTTGGAAAGACATCAGGAAATTCACACACGATAGGAATTTGATCTAGACTAACTTTTTTCTAGCTTAAGTCTTTCACTGATGCTAGAAAACTAGTGCACCCGCTCCTCAACATGAGATGAGCTTGAAGGGCTAATATAATGTGCATAGGTTTTTGCACCTTACTACCCTCAAAGCAAAACTCCGATTGATCGGGAATTCTAAACACCACCATTTTCTCTAGATGCAGAATAGATGCATGATTTCTAGATAACCAATTCATTCCTAAAATGATGTCATAATCATGCATATTAAGGATAATCAGTTCCACTAAAAGCTCCATATCCACTATGTTTATCTTACATTTGCAATACTTATTAGATATTAGAATGATATCTCCCGGTGTGCTAACATACATTTCATGCTCTAGTGCATCACATGGCAACCCCTTCTTTCTAACAAATTGTGTAGCAATAAAAGAATGCGAAACTCCAGAATCAAATAGAACTCGAGCAAAAGTAGAAAATATAGGTATAGTACCTGACACCACATCATTATTTGCCAGAGCCTCTTGCTTGGTTAGAGAGTAAACTCGAGCCATCACTTGAGGATGCTAATCACGTTGAGATGTATTATGACCTGGAGTTTCATTCAACTTAGGACAATCTGTGATCTTGTGATCCTTTTGGCCACACCTCAGACAAGCACTTGTAACTCTCCAGCAATTTATTACTTCATGATTAGACTTGTCACATATGGTGCATCTCATCGACTTCTTGTTCATAGTCTGCTTTCCTTTTGAATCCACATTTTGTCTCTTGTTTTGCCTATTTTTTGTGACCTTCACGTCCATCTGATCTGAACTTCTTCTTCATATCATCATTTTTGCGGTCATCAACCAAGAATATTTCTTTTCTTTCCTTTTGATCACTAAAGTTATCTTCAATACCGCTGCATAAGTGGAAAGTTCAAATGAGCTCACTTGAAACCTTATTTTGGGGTTGCAGACCCTCCTTAAAACGACGTGCTCTATCTTCTTTAGTTGCAACAAATTAGTGTGCAAACTTGGATGGATAAGTAAATTCCTCCTCATTCTCCGTCACGGTCTTATCGTTTTGCTTCAGCTCACGGAATTCCCTTTCCTTCTGCTAGCAAACAAACTTTGGAAAGTATTTCTCATAAAAGACTTTCTTAAATTCTTCCTAAGATATTTGGTCAACACCATCTCCCAGAATCCTCTGCTGCATTTGCCACCGGTCATAAGCACGTCTTTTTAACATATATATATCATAAGCCACTTTTTCTCTATTAGGACACTTCATGTAAGTAAAGACTTTCTCCATTTCTATGATCCAGTCTTCAGCTACTATAGGATCAACACTTCCTTCGAAGGTAGGCGGTGTCAACCTCTTAAACTCCGCCATACCACTTCGTAATCGAGGATGATTAATATCTCAAAATTCTTGCTGTTTGTTAAGTTGTTGCTGATAATTTTGCATCATAGAGGTGAAACTTTGCATTATCTCCAACATAGCATTGGCATCTAGTTGATTTTCTCCGAAACCAGATCCATGTACATTTGTACCACCAAACATTTGCCCCAAAGTCTGGTGCAAATCACTTTCTCGAGTTAAAGTAGTGGTTGTGTTGTTCCTAGCCATCTAATTATAAAGCAAACAAACAACATATCTATAATCCCTAAAAAAAATTAAATTTTATTTCTATACGCTACTGACTTCTAACACTAGGACTTCTAAACCTAGGCTCTGATGCCAAAACTTGTGACGCCCCAAAAATGCGCAACTGATTTTGAGATGCATGACAATGACAATACGTGCACAAAGCACATGCTAAGCGTACGGTGCACTTCCATATTACAATAAACTTCATTTTAAAAGAAGCTTTATTGACAAATAAAGAAGTCTCAGAGAAAAACTATATTATAACAAGTTCATTCTAATGAGTCAAAAGACTCTTATTACATAAGCATAGTAGCATGACTAGTATAACTATAACTTCAAAATCAAATGTTCTAAAAGATTCTTCTCATGTTCCAAAGCTCCGAGGTTTTGATAAAGCTATCTAATTTTCATCTGAAAAAGATTAAAAAAACGGGTGAGTTTACACTCAGTGAGCAGAAAATTTATCATTAGCGGATCAAATAAGTTTAAGAATTAATCAATACTAAAATTTAAATAAGCTATCATCAAAAAGATGATTAAGAAACACATAATATTTTGAATAAGTGGAATTTTTAAGAATAGATGTCATATATCATAAAAGGCTATCCACAAATTATGAAACAATACGAATGAACACTAAATACTCTTAAAACTGCAATTATCGATATAAATTCATAATTGCAAAACATCATCAGTTATCACACTAAGGCTATGAAAATTATAGCCCAGTAGCATGGAAATACGCATCAAATCACTATAAGTTAACCCAGTGACAGAATATACCTAGCACTATCATAGGTTGCCTAAAGGTCACTTCACTTTTGCCAAAAAGATCACTTTAACATTAGTCAGTACGTTCAATATCATATGGTAGGCTTAAACAAACCATTTCACTCCATAGTGGACTTCTGAGGATTTTTTAACATTTAACACACATTTCTTTTTGTTCAAAGTATCGCTCACAATTTTCACTTATACAAAAAGCATTATAAATGCTTGAATACATTTGCAAACTTTTCTCATATCAATTTCGTGAAAATGGAATATTCATGAATCTAAATGAATAAATAATTTTTTTTGTCAAATAGAGCTCTTCAATAAATTCTTTTGAATAGTAAATTTAAAATGGTAAATTTTCAATAACCTCATATGCTAAATAATATTTATGTTGTAAAAGATAAATAGCTATCACATTCAAATTTGTTAACAATTATTATAAATGAACAGAATAACATGTCTGATCCATCATTTCTCTATACAAAAATAAAATTATCATTTAAATAATATATAATAGAAAATAACCAGTGAGAAGAATTCTACTCACCTTAAAAGATCTTGTAACAATTTGGAGAACCGTACTCCAAGAAAACCTACTCCTTGATCAAACCTATAATCATTCATGATGTATAATATCTAATAGTAATAATTAAGGGCTCAAAGGAAATCTTTTCATTAAGTAGGTTTTATTTAGAAACATCTCCTTATAGGTTTTTTGGACCCAAAACTAATTTTTTAATATTTCTAGGGTCTTCTTTTCTAATTTTAGAAATTTACCTAGCTTAATTTCTAACTAAGTTTGAATTTTTGGGTCTAGTTGCAATTTACTAAACAACAGGGTCCTGATGAATATTTTCACTCCTCTTTAATCTTTTGGACCCATTTACAAACTAATAATCTCAGGTGTCCCATAATAATTAAACTATTTTTATTTTATTTTTGCTTTTCTCTCTCTTTCTTTCTCTCCCGATCTCTCTCTCTCTCTGACTTTCTCTCGCAATCTCTCTCTCTCTCTCTCTTCCCTCTTCGCGCTTCCTCCCTCTTCTTCTCTTTTTTTTTTACCCGAACTTTCCCCCTTTGATTTTAATTTTTTTTGTTTGTTTTTGAAACTGATAATTTGGGTGAAATAGGTTATCCATGGCTCTTGAGTTCATAATTGGTTTTAGGAATTGATTATACATATTCAGTTACAAGGCTTTTAGATTTCCTCTTTCTAGTAACTCTTCATTAACTTTAATGGCCTGTTTGGATGGAGGGTAGATAAGGAGAATGGATGAGAAATGTAATTTTAAGCTTGTTTGGGTGTTGCATTTAGGAGGGCAAAGGAAGGCAATAGAGGGGAGGGTTGGGGGGGAGGAATTTGTGTCAAAATGTTACACCCTAAATTGGGGGGTAATAAAGAGAAAGGGTTTTTCCCCTTCCTTCTCCTTCCCTTCCCTAAGGGCTTGTTTGGATTGAGGGGAATAAGGGTGAAGGGAAGTTAGGGGAACCATTCACCTTGTTTGGGAACATTTAGGAGGTGAAGTTATTCATCCTAGTTCCCATTGGTTCACCTCCTAATAGTATAAAATTTGTTACCCCCCAAATTGGGGTGTAACCAAGGGGAAGAGAACTCCCTTCCTTTCCCTTCCATTCTCTCACTTAGTTTCTCTTAATCCAAACATGCTTAAGTGAACTCTCAAACATACCATTAAAGAAAACAACCAGTACTCCACAATATTTGAAGCAAGGGGATTGGACTCAAACAAATGACAAAAGAGGATCAGCTTGGATTTGGACCTCTAAGGAAGATTATTTATATATACACTTCAGTAAATAAAAGTAAGCTGAGTGTTTACAAAAATAAAGAGAAGGGAAAACAGACCAAATTAAAGAAGAATCCTTCATTTTGCTTTCTTTTTAACTTTCGGTAGCAATTTGATCCAGATGCAGAAATATTGCATCTAGCGACTTGATTTTTGTTCTTGTAAATGCATAGAGGACAATCCGACATTTTTCTGATAATTTTATGTACAGTAGATATTGTTTCTAGAATTTTTTTACTTGTAGAAATTGAAGATAACAAGTCTTTCTTAGAACACCCCCCCCCCCCCCCCACACCACCTCCACCTCCACCTCGCCGGCTTCATTATCATCATGGCCTAAACAAAATGAAAATCCCAGCAGATCTGGATCTTTCGTCTTTATTTCACATCGAGGGTATTGGTGGGGGGGGGCGGGGGGGGGCGGGGGGTTTACCACAGAGAGCCATAATGTACATTACAGTCACATTATTTGCATGACTAGGACATTTGGATGACGGAACGGCTACGAGATTTGATCAGTAACAAGTTTCATCCTTCTCTTCAACTTAAATGCATCTTTATAAGGAAGGGGTATAAGCTTTGATCAGTAACAACTTTAGGATAAGTCAATAGCAAAATATCTTCTGAAGATCAAATGCTTGGTTATTCATGTTTTCACGTATCTTGAATTCTGGAGGTCTAAAATACCCGCATTCATTAATCTTATTAGAATATTAAAATATAAATTTTAACTCTCACCACAACTTCAAAGTTTTTGTGTAATGCTTAGAGGAACTAATTTAAAATGGTATCAGAGCAACCCAAGTTTAAATCCCAATAGCCACAAATTTATAACGGATTTTCTAAAAATTAACACTACTATCTGAGTTCAGGCTTCGACCCATTAAAATGACGCTCGACCTAAGGGGGCATGTTAGAATATAAAAATATAAAGTTCAACTCAATTTTGGAGTTTTGGTATAAAGACTAATTTAAGAAATCTAAACAACGCGAAATCTCGTGAACAAAACTTCGTTACGCCTGCATCCATGTTAAGTTCATAACTTTTGATGTTTGATATGATATTGGAGATTGTATGATGAGAAATTCAAACCTCCAAGGTCAATGTAACATTTATTGGAAACACAAGGGATATCACACTTCCGTAAGAAAAAGTCGAAAACAAAAGCCACAACTGGGAGCGTGAAACGCAAGGGATATTTCTTCCATGATCACAGTGAAGCTAGACTCAAGTTGTTGCTAACATGGGCAAATAATCAGTCAAATCAAGGTAAATTTAGAGGTTAAGATAAAGCCTTGAACTTCCAACGACGATGGAGAGCGGAGCGATCACGAAG